GCGACGGCGCACCGGGGATTGGCTGCGACTGTCCCGTCGCCATCGTGGCGACCGGCTACGGCTTCGACTGAAACTACGACGGGGAGGAGACCGCGAGTAGCGACGGCGAGAAACAGGACGAGGCGACCGACTTCGGGACGAACTGGGACTTCGCCGGCCTCGTACGGGGCTTCGGGACCGTGCTCGCGGCGGGGTTGGTGTCCGAGCATGGCGCTTGACTGCGACTGGCGAACGTGACGGGGGCGATCGGACTTTGCGTTTTCGATCGGCATCGAGAGTTTTGACTGGAGAGGTCTTAGCCGAAGGTGAGGAGGGTCGAAGACCTGCAGGTGCGGAGGACGACTGCAGCGGAGACTTGTCTCGGCTCTTCGATCGAGTTTTGTCCTTGGTGCTCATTCGACGGATTCTTGGCTTGCGTTCCGACTCGGATTCGCTCGAGGAGGACGAATCGCTGGAAGATGAAGACGAACTCGATGATGATGTTGACGAGCTTGATGAGGATGACGGAGAGCGCTGGGGACGACGACGTTTCTCCTTCGACCTCGAGTCCTTCTTCGAGTCCTTCTTTGCATTCTTCTTTGCGTCCTTCTTGGACGATGGCGACAATTGCCTGTCGTTGTTTTGCAGTCGAGGTCGGTTCGCCCGCTCTTCGCGCTCGCGCTGTTTGCGATCGTACTCATTCAACCGTTCGAGCCGGCGCTGTTCTTGCAAATCGACGTCGAAACTTGTGCCTTCCACATAATTGTCTCGGATACCAAAGGCGTCCTTGAGAGCAGCGAGTTCCTTCTCTTTTTTCATGGCCTTGGCGTGACTACTGGCGTGCTTCGAGTCGTCAAGGCGCCGTGCATCAGTCTCCATGCGCGCTCGAATCTTCTCACGAAACGCAGCACACTTTTCCTCAATTTCATCGTCGTCACAACCTTGTTCTTCCAGCTCGTCGCGAAGCTCCATCACCTTGACCTCAACCTGTCGCTTCTTCTCGTGCAGCAAAATTTGCTTGTTCACGGGGTGCTTGTTGTGCGGCTCTTCCAGCATCGCGTACTTCATCTGCGCCTGCCGCTCGCGTTCACGGATGTGCGCAGGCTTCACATAGCTCAAGTTTCGCATCACATACCCATTCGTGCCCGACCCGCGCGCCGTGCGCAGCCCCACTCCGTTGTACGACATCTCTCTGTCCGCGCCTACTGCACCGCCCACCACAGATATGGGACTGGGAGAAGATTTGGTGCGGCGGGAACTTTCCACCAATCAAATGTCTCAATTTTGAAAAAATAAACTTTTTAGCCAGCAAATTTTCTCTCTTTTTCTGCCGAACTTTGCTAAATATTCACAACAAGAAGCAAATTTTCGCTTACAAAACGCGACGTTGACCCGAAGTTCGAAGCGAACGAGCTGATGGCCGACGCCAAGCAAGATGACCCGGCGCCAGCGACGAATCGCGAGTCTGATGGCGAGTACGAAGATGGAGGAAGCAGTGCCAGCATGTTTGCAGAGTTCTGGATGCATGACCTCGTTGAGTTGGGTAACGTCGACGTCCTGAAGGCCGCCCTGGACGAGGACGAGGAAGGTTTCCTCGTCTCTCTCAAGGAGATCGACGACATGGGTTGCACGCCGCTTCACACGGCAGTATTGCACCCAGTCCAGTCGGTGTTGTCGTATCTTTGGTCGTTTGGGGCTGATGCCCTGAGTCTCGACACTGCCTGCAACGGCACCCCGACGCTCCACCTCGTCCTCCGCATGTGCACGTTTGCAGAGCATCGCGGCATCCTGTTGCCATTCCTCCGCGACTTGCTCAAGTGTGAGACATTCATGGAATCCGCCACCCACACCAAAGACGACGTCGGCAACACAATCTTTCACGTCGCAGCCATGGCGAACGTGGTCGACGTACTCGAGCTACTGGATCCGCCCGCGACAGCGCTTGAAGTCCGCAACCGCGTCAGCGAACGCCCTGTGCATGTTGCCATCAAGTTTCGCAGCCTCGATGTGCTGCGCGCCCTCGTTCACGACCACCACGTCGACGTCACAGCCCCAACGTCGTTTGGTGTGACGCCGCTCCATCAGGCCGCTGCTTCGCCAGCTGCATCCACAATTTTGCCCATGCTAGACCCCGACTGGCGCACGTCAACATGCAAAAACGGCCTCAATGAAACCCCTCTGGACGTCTTCAATGCCGCGGAGCGCCATCGCATTCCCGCGACCGACAGCCGGACGTGTGCTTTCCTGTACCATCCAGACGCAATGGAGCACTTGCCGATGGCAGGCCACGTTCGCGGCAAGGACGAGCCACCTCCCGAAAACTACGAACGCATGAAGAGTTTGGTGTTGCCCGGGCTCGGCATCCTGCGCACCACGGAATTCACCAACACCCCCGAGCTGCATCCAGTCCAATGGGACCACGACATTCCCAAGGCCGACATCGCCGACGTGCTGCGGATTCATGACGTGGCTTACGTTGAAAAGCTCAAGGGCCTCTGCGGCCGCATCCCGCCGGACGTACGCCCCCTTCCAATTCCCATCAACCCCCATGTGGCTGACCATTGTTTCAAATCGCACGTGTAGATGACGGCGGACGACCTGGCGTCCTATTGCTTGGATCCAGACACAGCGCTGTCCTCGCAGTCGTACGAAGCGGCGCTGCGGGCGGCGGGCAACGTGTGTGCTGCTGTGGACAGAGTGCGTTCCATGCCGCGCTGAACATGGAGCTAGGATGCCTTGAATGGCCTCGGCACCGCCATGACCATCCATTTCCCAACGTTCCGTTGTTCTGTCTAGGTCGTGGCAGGCACGACTCGCAATGCATTTTGCATCGTCCGACCGCCTGGCCACCATGCCGGACCGGTGGGAAAGGTAACTTGCGACCACGATCGCGTGGGTAGCCATGGCTTTTGCCTGCTCAACAACGTTGCGATCGGGGCGGCGTACGCCCGCAGCCACTTCAAGTCGCAGGTGCGTCAAGGTATCCGTCCCATTTCCCATGTCTTTGGAGCTGCGGCAGGGAATCCACAAAGTCGCGATCGTTGACTTTGACGTGCACCATGGCAACGGCACGGAAGAATGCATCCGCCACCTCGTGCACCGGGTGCAGGACCATTCCTTTGAAACGCCGTTCGTGTCGGGCACCCACCGCACCCACCAGTACAAACCGTGGCGCAGCGCCGACGACGCAGCCAACGTGTTTTTCTGCTCAGTCCACGGGTATGGCCCCAAGGACCCCAAGCAGGAATACCCGCCTGGCCAGTTTGCCGGCGCGTGGTTCTATCCTGGTTCTGGCGAATCGACGCCGATTTTGAATCTCGGCGAGTTGGCCGCGCCGTCCGAGCCGCTCGTTGTCAACGTCGGCCTGCCGTACCAACGAGGAAACTTGGCACGTCAAGAGTGGCGCCGCGTGTTTCGCAGCGACATTTTACCCCAAGTCGTGGCCTTTCAGCCCGACATCATCTTCCTCTCGGCTGGATTTGACGGCCATCGCTCTGAAAACGTCAACTGGGGGTGCGTATCGTCTGGGCCGTTTGAGTCCAGGGCTGACGATGGTTGTGCAGCTATGTAGGCTTGATGGAGCACGACTTCGAATGGCTCACACAGAGCGTAGTCAAGGTCGCCAACACAGTGTGCAATGGCCGAGTGATATCGGTCCTTGAAGGCGGCTACAACTTTCACGGGCGAGTGGCGTCGCCATTCTGCCGCAGGTCCGCCATCCTGCTCGATACGCGTGGCGCATGCGGCAACGACTCTGTGTTTTCCATGTAGCGTCGCGGCGCACGCACGAGCGTTGGTGGCTGGAGCCCAGACGACGGAACCGTGGAACGAAGACGAGATGGCGCATGAAGCCCAGTGCGAAGCTGCCTTGATTCTGGAAGCGTCGGCCAAGAAAAAAGCACCCAAGCCGACGGAAGAACCCTCGGCACGAACAAGCTGCCCTCAAGTTGACGCTTCCACCGACGAGCCGTCGTCGACCCGAACATCCAAACGTCGGCGAAAAGAAGTCGACTACGTCGCCTTGGCGGCCGAGTTGGCCCAAGAAAAGCCCGAATAACGCCCCCGGTGGCAATGTCCGTGCCTCAAGGGCCTGCCATGCGCCATGATAGACACACGAAAAGATCGAATGAAGCTCCATGTATTGCCACCGAAACTTGGAAAAATCACGTCGATTGAATTCGTTGCATTCAACCACTGCTGTAAGCATTCTGTCACGGGCAGCGCCAGCGGGCATTCCCTGGGGTGGTGCCGATGTCGCGTCCCTCACATGCCACCGTCGTCGCACGTGAGGTCCACCGCGCGAGTGACACCGCTGATTTGGATGCTCAGGATCGCCCGACGCCTCGTCTATTCCGCAGGCGCCTCGCGTGCCATCAGGAGGATGTCAAGTGTTTGCAACAGGCAACGTCGGCATCTCGCAAAGAATCAGCCGATCGTTGTCTTGCCACTGCGACACACGCAACCTGCCAGTCCATGGCATCGTTGCCGCATTCAGTCGTGACGTGGTGCTGGGAAGGCGGCGCCTCGCGGGACACACCCACGTCAAGTGGGAGCTCTTGGAAGCGTACGTCAGCGCGAACTGCGTCGCCACGGGTGAAGCAAGTCGTCGATGACGGAGATGCACCATGACAGACGACATGAACTTCGTCAGCCAGAACGTCGTCCAGGGACGAATTGAGCGCTAACTACCAGAGTCGACAGCAAAATACGTGGGCCTGATACGGCGCAGCAGGATGACCATCCGATTGTCCCGAGCCGTGGGCAAAACCACTGTCCGTGCAGGCAGTGTGCCGCCAAGGGCAAGCAAGGCCACGATGGCGTGGCCAGGTCGTTTGCCAAGGTCGAGGAGGCTGTTTTTTGCATGGACTGTCGGAGAATCGTTCGAGCGCTTGAGCGTCATGCGGCTCGGCTCGCTGCCGATATCCAACGGTTCAACGTCACACTCTGCCATAGTGTGGTGTACGATGTAATGATCGTGGCGAGCCCAGAACGCCACCTCTGTCAACTCAACTTTCGAGCTCCCCTCAGAAAATTCCGCTCAAGCTCTGCGCAGCAGACCAGCCAGCCCCCCCCCACCTCCTCCCGACACATCCTTTGTCATTGTCAATGGTGGCTATAGCCCAAGGGTAGACTTGGTAGCGTGGTGGTTCGTCTGCTGCGTTTGCTACAAACACTTCCCGTGGAGGGCGAAGGAGGACCATCGGCCACCTTGGATGATTGGGAAGATGGACATACTGTGTTGTTTCCCGCGCCGCCGCAGCACAACCAAGTAGCAAAGTGTTCGGGGCTCCCTGGTGCGCACAACTTGATTCATGTAGCGTTCGACCGCAGAATTTTGGCGCGCGGTCATGTGCTGCTGGCTGCCGGAAGAGCGCCATACTGTGGCCTGCACAGCTACTAGAATAGGCTAGACTATGCCAATAGTTGTCGTGAACCACCGTCAACATGCACACGACGTCATTCGTATCGACGTTTTGCTTGGAATAATTGCAAACGAAGCGGCACGGCAGAGCGATGCATCGTCGATTCGTTCGCTGACGTGGCAACGCGCATGAATGGGGGCGACTCGCGTCCCCTTCAAGCACGTCATGGGCAGAGTTATCGGTTTCATCGAAGCAGTTTCACCCTGGAGGGTTGGTGGCATCAGTTTCGCCATTTTCTGACCGATTCGTTGCTCGACTCAACTGTGACCAACTGTTGGGCTCTTGGCATGCAAGCAGGAGCTGCCATGGCGAACTGGGCCGACCATCCACCGAGCCGATAAAAATCTTTGATGGAGCCCTTAGCCGCAGAACCTGACCACTTGGCTGCTGACTGCAAGACTATCGCCACTTCCAACTCTAAGAATAGCACAGCCAATGCCGACGACAGGTGGCGTGAACCACCACCGCACCTCAGCACACACCAAGCACACAACGTCATTCGTTTCGACGTTTTGCTTGGTGTCATTGCAGACGAAGTGGCACGGCAGAGCCATGCATCGCCAATTCATTCGCTGACGAGGCAAATGCATGAGTTGGGGCGACTCGAGGGCCCCCTTCAAAACATGTTGTACGCCGTGGGCAGAGTTTCGCGTAATCGGTTTCATCGAAGCAGTTTCAACCTGGGCGTTTGGTTGCGGCAGTTTCGTCGGTTGCGACCGACTCTTCGCACGACCCCTCGAATTCTGACCGTCACTTGGGCTCTTGGCATTCAAGCCGCAGCAGCAGCAGCAGCCATGGCGGACTTGGTCGACCACCCATCGAGCCGGTGGGATCAGTCTGCTGCCGCCAAGACTGGTAGGGTTCACCCATGTCCGCCACCCGACGACGGGGAGCTCAACAATCTTGTCGACGGCACCGAGGATGCATCCGGCAATCTTTCCGTCAACTTGCCTGCCGCAGCATGCAAGTACACGCCGCCAGACGCTGCGACTTTGGGCAAGGGCGCCGCGCCATCCAACGGCTTGACGACGACTGAGAAGCTCGAGGCGTATGCTGGACTGGGCTATGTCGGTCTGACGCTGGCGCTGACGATCGCTTACTTGCACATGCTGTCGCCCGTCATGGCCAACGACTTGTGGTGGGCGGGATTCAATTCAACGGGGGCGCAGTCGTACATCATCGACGTCGTGAACGGAGAGCTCAACATTGTCGCGAACCGTTCGCTGGACCTGACGTCCACAACAACTGGCCTCCCCTACGACTACTCGACGTTCTACTCGCCGATTCGGATCGCACCCACGTACCCGCGGACCGTGCTCGATCAAGAATACCACAACCTGACCACGGTACTCACGTCCCTCCAAGAAATTGCCGCCCCCGACATGAGCATTCCGACGCAATTTTGTTGGGTGGACTTTAACCGCACGTGGGAAATGGCGCACACGAAAATGCGTCAAAAGCGATGCATCGACCGGTACCGGGCGAACGCAGCAGTCTACTTTGAATCGACGGCCAGGATGATCAACTGGAAGACGTGGATGGCGGCAAAGGAAAGCGAGTTCAACATCACGATCGGGAACGCGTTGCGAAAGAGCGCCGCTGGCGACGCCTGGATCAGCCGCACGGCGAACGCGTTCAAGGACGTGGCGTCCGAAGTCGCGGTGTGGGAGCGTGCAGGGCTGACGCACTATACGCTCCAGTACAACAACATCTTATCGTGGGGCATCCAAGAAAGGATTCACATCCAGAACGCGTTTGGCGGCAACCAGGCGATTTCGATCAAGAGCGTGCCGACCAAGTCGCGCGGGGCGCTGTGGACCACGATCGTTATGTGTTGGTTACCGTGGAACGATATCAACCTTGGCGCGTGGATGGGGTATAGCCTCGTGCGCAGCGACCCGGATAACCAGCAGTTTACCCCACCGTGCAGCTACGACGATTACCTGGCGAATCCTGACACGTACGACTGCGACCCGTGCAAAGCCCCGTGGAATCCGATCCCGGGCGACTGCTGGCCAGACTTTGAGCTGTTCTACAACCTGCCAGACCTTCCAGGCGTCCAGATGGTCAGTGCTGGCATCGGACCGTTTGGCTCGATCGACTTGTTTCTAGTGTTCGCGCCGCCATCGCTCATGACGCTCGCTTCCACATATCAAGCGCAGTTGTCCGTCATGGCCCAAGCCAGCGACAGTTTCTACGGCGCTGTAAACGTCATTCCCGAGTACAAAACCGATCCTGTCCCGACTCCGTGGACCGCCGAGCCGTACTTGTACTTTGGTGGAGATCCCACCTGCCCACTTCGAGACCCGATGCCGTTTGTTCAGTCTTCCTTTGCCTACGACGTGTCCTGCACCAAGCAAGTGCGCCACACGATGGTGCTGAATGCGTTCAACTCGATATTTGCCCTGCTGGCGTCGAGCCCCGCGCCGTCCGCGGCAACGATTTGCGCGCAGTGCCCAACCATGGCCCACGAGTGCGCAGCGGTGGTGACGCCCGCGGCCACCGCGGCAAAGGCATTCCGTGACGTGTACGCCATGCACGACGAATGGGTCGGTCAAATCAACGCCGCACGCGACGACGTGGTCAAGCTGGGCGTGGGGACGATGCAGCTCGCCATCCATGCCACGGACGAAACCAACGCATTCTTGTTCCAAACGCTGCTCTCTTCAACTCCAAGTTCGTGGGACTTTTTTGGGTGGATCTACTTGCTCGAGTGGGCCACCGGCGCACGCGAAGTCGTGTCGTTCGAAGGCGACTGGCGCATCCTACCGCTTGTGTCGGACAAGTACGATCCGATCATCAACGAAGCGCGAGCGTTGGAAGTCCCGAAGAGCGCGTGCCAGTACCTGTGGGTCGTGTCCGTCGTCGTCAGCGTCGTATTGTTGTCGGTCGGCACCCTCGTGACTCTGTACAGCATGTACCTGCGCGGTCGCATCGTCGGGCGCAACCTGTTTCGATTCAACCGTATCGTTGGCGCCGTGTGGCTCGGTCGACCGTTCCTCTTGGTGCGTGGGATGACGGCGGTCGTTGTCCTGAGCACGTCGCCGTTGATCTTTCGCGTCCACAACGAGTACACGCAGTTTGAGTTTGCACCTCGGACGTTTGTCCAGAGCATGTTGGTCAGCGGCGAAGCGATGTGGATTTCGTACGTCGTCAACGACTTTTTGCTGCTGCTGACGCGCAACTCGCAGCCGCACTTTGCTCCGATCAGCACGTGCTTGGGGTGGCTCATCTACCTCTTGTACGACGTGTCGAGTCCGTACAAAGTCGAGGCCAACATCGACCGACAGTGCTTCGTCACGATGCGCACCAGACAAATTGTGTGCGAGAGCGGATTCGTTGCGATCGGCGACTACACTCGTGCGGTCACGTACGTCTTCATTCAGTTGGCGTGCATCGCAGGAGCGTTCGTCGCCGTCCGGCTCTGGCAGTGCATCCGCCCTTCCCAGCCAAAGTCGTACAACGGCCACTTGTTGCTGTCGGGGACTGCGACCGCTTTCCTCCACAAGGAGACGCTCGCCAACGGGGCGTGGGTCGTTGATCGAGCGTCGTGTGTCATGTGCGGACTCATCACGGTGGGCAAATTCATCTTCGACCTGAAGCTGTGGTTGTTGGTCGTGGATGCCAACATTGCCTCGCCAGTCAAGTGGGGCATGAAGATATTTGCGCCGCCCGAGCTCACCAACGACCTCGCCAAGCGATACGGCGACAA